CTGCCTCTCCTGTCTCTGTGTAACTCTTTCAAATAAGATAAATAAATCTTAAAAAAAGAACCTGTTTTGTCTGCTTATAAAACCTACAGTTTTGTTTTCTTCAACTATGTAACTTTCTGATTTGTCCTTAAAATTTTGGCACTTTTATTAAATACATAACTATTTTTTCACAGTGGAAATTTTTTAAAAACAGGGAAAAAAGCTGAAAAACAAGAAAAAAGAGTATATGTGAAAATAGTTGTACTTTAATATGTTGGTTGAGAAAGTACTTTGGAATATAAAGCTTTAAGTAATATTACTGAATTAGTTCCTGATAGGTTTGCTGTGGTTTAAAACCAAATAAATAAACAAAAAGAAAAACCCTATATACAGTTTACTCCAGAAGTTTTCAATTGAATATTCTCAGACCATGGTTGACTGCAGGTAAGTGAGACTGTGGAAAGCAAAACTACAGATGGAGGGGGCGGGGGCGAGCTGATGTAATAATGAAAACAACATGTACCAGTGCCCAGTGCAGCAGGTGGTATTTAAGTGTTAGTTCTCTCTGTTGTTGTTGTTATTGTGATCATTACTATTATTTCACGCAATTGACAGCTGTTGAGCACTGCCTTCACAATGTTCACATGCAGTCTGTCTGTAAAGCAGACATTAGGCAGATAATTACTAGGAAGTCATGAGCATTAGGATGAGAAAGTGGCTGGCGCCGCGGCTCATAGGCTAATCCTCCACCTTGCGGCGCCAGCACACCGGGTTCTAGTCCCGGTCAGGGCGCCGGATTCTGTCCCGGTTGCCCCTCTTCCAGGCCAGCTCTCTGCTGTGGCCTGGGAGTGCAGTGGAGGATGGCCCAAGTCCTTGGGCCCTGCACCCCATGGGAGACCAGGAGAAGCACCTGGCTCCTGGCTTCGGATCAGTGCGGTGCGCCGGCTGCGGCGGCCTTTGGAGGGTGAACCAACGGCAAAGGAAGACCTTTCTCTCTGTCTCTCTCTCTCACTGTCCACTCTGCCTGTCAAAAAAAAAAAAAAAAAAAAAAAAAAGAAAGAAAGAAAAAAAAAGGATGTGAAAGTACAGAGCACTCATATTCTTGAATAAATATTGATACCCTCTCCAAGCAGAGGGAGCTTGGAGTTCAGACACTCACAGAGGACCTAGAAGGTCCTATAAAGTCCAGGCAGAAAATACTTTAAAAGAGTTATATATTTATTTATTTGAGAGGCAGAGTTACAGACAGAGAGAGGGACACACAGAGAGAGGTCTTCCATCTGCTGACTCACTCCCCAAATGACTGCGACAGCCAGAGCTGGGCTGATCTGAAGCCAGGAGCCTCCTCCAGGTCCTGCACGTGGGTGCAGGGACCCAAACACTTGGGCCACCTTCTACTGCTTTCCCAGGCCACCAGAAGAGAGCTGGATCAGAAGTGGAGCCGTTGGGACACGGACCGGCGTCCATATGGGATGCCAGCACCACAGGCAGACGTTAGCCTACAGTGCCACAGAGCTAGCCCGGAGGCAGATAATTTTGGCTTATGAATAATCAAGAGAGAATTCTGAATCCCGGTGGAAGAAGATTATTTTTCACCTCTGCTCCCTTAGAGTAAAAGCAGTGAAATTAAAGCAAGCAAAAAAGCCCCCAGGGAACTGTAGCAGCAAAATCTCCTTTAGGAGTTGAAAAGGAAAGTTAGCAGCAGGTTTGGAACCAGTCAAGGCAACAGAAGCAAGAGACAGCAAGGACCAGCTGGTGGCCTTCAGTGGCCTCTGGGGTCAGGCACCAACATCCTGGAGAGATGGCAGCGTCTGAGTGAACACCCTGGGAAAACACCCACAGTCTTAGTGGGACTTGGCATCACCATCTACAGCACTGGTGTCTCTTCTGTCAGGATGGCGAGAATGAGGGTTCAGAAGGGGCCAGCTGGTATCAAAGAAGACTTATCTCCTATCTACCTTTCCTATATCATATTTATGTCAAAAACGGGTTCTGCATTTGGGGAGATGCTGCTTCCGTGAAGGCTCCAATCTCACTGGGAGGAACAGAGGTGATTTCTGCAAAGCAGAAGTAACAGGGCTATGCTAAAATTCTTAGGCATTGTTTTTGCACTGGATCACAACTTGCCAGGAGAAAAAAAAAAAGTTATGGGCATCTCCAAAAGGATTATAATTTTAGTAATTTGAAACATTTTTAAGAGATGCCATCTTGGCCGGCGCCGCGGCTCACTAGGCTAATCCTCCGCCTTGCGGCGCCGGCACACCAGGTTCTAGTCCTGGTCGGGGCACTGGATTCTGTCCCGGTTGCCCCTCTTCCAGGCCAGCTCTCTGCTGTGGCCAGGGAGTGCAGTGGAGGATGGCCCAGGTGCTTGGGCCCTGCACCCCATGGGAGACCAGGAGAAGCACCTGGCTCCTGCCTACGGATAGGCGCAGTGCGCCGGCCGCGGCGGCCACTGGAGGGTGAACCAACGGCAAAGGAAGACCTTTGTCTCTGTCTCTCTCTCTCTCACTGTCCACTCTGCCTGTCAAAAAAAAAAAAAAGATAAAAAAAGAGATGTCATCTTCTAGAATGTTTATTTTAGTGGCATATCATTTTAACATTTGTATACTAAAATGAGCATCACTACATTATACTTGGGGTTGCAAAGTAGCCAGGAATTCTAGAGGTAAAGCACAAAACTAAGGACATCTTAGCTTTGTGACAGACTGAACCAAAGCCGTCCACTTCTCTGCCATCCTAGATCATGCCCCTCTGCCATCAGACAGGCATCTCCAGAACATTTAAGCAGCACCGTCTTCAGTTAAAGGGGTGAAGGCTGAACGCATAATTCTTTTATCACCCAGCAGGCGAGAGACCATAAATTAACGAGAGGATGATGACTCTTACATAGCAGAAGAAGTTGAAATCCAACATTTACCTAACGTGTGAGGGTGAGCAAGTCGCTTCACCTCTCTGGGTAAACGTCTACATCTGTGCACTGGCAATGAAGACTCCGGTTCAACGTCTTCTCTGGCACTGGTGAAGCTGAAGGAAGGCAAATATGCAAACATTTTATGAATCACAGAATGCTACGTAACTATGGTAAGCTACTCTTGTTTTCGTTTTTCTCATTCACTCACTCTGTGGGGATGCTGGAAGGCCTTCTCTGAGTTTCCTGCCTACAACCGAGTCCCACAGTCCCAGCTGACTGCTTGCTTTATTGATCAGCTTCTCCTCTCTATAACCCACACCTGCAAGGAGGCACTGGCGGTGGAAGGAGGTTGCTTTTGGCTTATGGTTTTGAAAGCTCACAGTCCAAGTCTCGGTGGCTCGTGGTTCTGGTGTATGAAGATGGCAGAGGTGGGGGAGCACAGGCTAGCAGAGAGTCAGGGAGGGTACTCATCTCCCATGACCATGTGACTCACTTCATAGGTCACCATGACGTGACCACGGGAGCTCTACCAACAGCTTCATCCAATACCATCACTTCAGATAGACCCCCTACTTCAATCACAGCTGGATGAAGTCTCCACCCTTAATTAATCCTTAATATTAATCTGTTACCTATTAACACAAGATTGTGGGGGACCAAGCTCCTAACACATGGACCTGTGTGGAACACCCATACTAGCACGCAAACTGTAGTGTTGCTGGTTTTCTGCTTTCACACGCAGGTCCTCGGGCCTCTGAGCTCAAGCTGCAAACTGCCTAAGGTAGCATGTACGATTTAATCATAAGTACTCATCCATATTAGATATTACGGCTTTGCACAGAAATAGGAAAAAAGTGTTAACATTTTTTTTGACAGGTAGACAGTGAGAGAGAGAGACAGAGAGAAAGGTCTTCCTTCCGTTGGTTCACCCTCGAAATGGCCGCTATGGCTGGCGCGCTACGCCGGTCCGAAGCCAGGAGCCAGGTGCTTCCTCCTGGTCTCCCATGCAGGTGCAGGGCCCAAGCACCTGGGCCATCCTCCACTGCCTTCCCAGGCCACAGCAGAGAGCTGGCCTGGAAGAGGGGCAACCGGGACAGAATCCGGCGCTCCAACTGGGACTAGAACCCGGTGTGCCGGTGCCGCAGGCGGAGGATTAGCCTAGTGAGCCGCGGCGCCGGCCAAAAGTGTTAACATTTTAAAAAATCTGTGCATGGTTCTTGCACACATCTCTCCTCCACCTGGAGAATTCGCAGGCCAGGAGGACGACAGGCTTGGTTCTAGTAACGCCTACTTGAGAGCTGGCAGCAGCACTGGTAATCACATTCCTTTCTTTGGAACTGAAATCCCCTCTGTCATTGGCTTATTTGCTACTAATGCTGGGTAATCTTTGGGGAGAGCCAAATACACAGCTCTAGCTGAGAGGCCCTCCATTTGCTGACTACTGAAAAACAGAAAAATGCCTTGTCCTGAATGTGGGTGGGCGTGGACTCAGAGATGCCCCTTCCCACGTAGAGAGGCCAGCCACACACAGGCACACAGATAAATCCCACTGAGAGCACCCCACACGAGTGTGCCTGGTTTTGTCCTTGCAGTTGCTTAGGAGGGAGAATTTTCCTTAGTATTTGCGACTGCATTCTCCTTGGGGTGTAGACAGGTGGGGAAACTGAGGCAGCCCGTAAGCATCAGGAGTGTCATGTCACAGAGAAAGTGCACGATTCACAGTTTGACAACAACAAAGGTTGGGAAGGGATCCAGCTGAAACTGGCGTGGGTTTTCCCAGAGACCCTGCCTGATAATGCACTATCCAGTGATGTGTGTAGGTCCGAGTGCAGCCTACCTGGTCTCTCAGCTCATCTCTGGCACTCACTGGACCCTCGGGAAACCTCAGTGTCACAGCTGCAGAGGCTCTGCCGGCTCCCTGCGCACAGCCCAGCGCCGGAGACCAGCCAGCAGCGGTTAGGACTGAGGCTGGAGCTGCCCTGGCCTTGCACAGGCCATGGGACGCCCCCCAGACCCCCATGACTGCCTCGGTGTCCAGTGATGTCCGCGTGAAAGTGGGGTGACGGCCGGCCCCGCTAGGACCCACGTGGCCAAAAAGCCCCAAGTGCCGGAAGCACCTCGCGCCCCAAGCCAACGGTCACTCAGGAGCCTTGGGAACCCGGCCGAGGGCCGCATCCCCAGATGCTGGGGAGCACTGAACGCTGAATTCCCCTTCCGCGGCGACACCCCACGGCCGCATCATGGGTCTGTACCTGAGTAGGTATCTGATTAAGTACCTGGCCAAGCCCGAGCCCACCATGTCCGCCGCAGCCCAGAAGCACCGGTCCCCGCGGCCCAGGTCTGTCCACCACCGCCAGGTTGGGAACCTGGAAGTGTCCCAAGTGCAGCGGAAGCGCCAGGCCCGGATCGCACCGCTGCCCACCGCAGCGGCCAGCCTGGAACACGCCCCGGTCCAGAGGGCCACCTTGCCCGAAGCTAGCAGGCTCCTCCCCAGCCGGCCCCGCCAGGCCCTCGCGGGGCTGGACCCCACCAGTGGCCGCCTGAGTCGCACCAAGCGCCGGCTGGGCAAGGCCCAGAACCCCGCGGCGCCCCGCAGCCAGGTCACCATGCAGATCGCCGCCCCGCAGCGCCCTGGCAGCCTCTACAGGTGCGCGCGAGCCCAGGAGGGCCCTGACCCCTGCGCCAGGGACACCGTGCTGAGGGCCCTGGGCCAGTGCAGCAAGGGCAGGAGGAAATTCGATGGCCCGCTCTGGCTGGAGAGCCCGGAGCCCAAGAGGCAGAGGCAGAGGCAGAGCCCGTCGCCGAAGCTGTCTGCCTTCGTGCCGGTCACCAGGAATGGCGTGATCCTTGCCTTCATGCCCAGGCCTAGTGGGCACCTGCACCGGGGCGCCCGCTCGCGGCCAGCGGAAGGCCACAGAAGGAGACGCGCCGCCGAGGCCTCCCGTGCAGCCTCAGCTCAGCCTCCGCAGCCGGCGGCCAGGCCTGCTGCGGGGACCTCGCCAGACCAGGCCCTGCTCACAGGGCCTCCCGCACAGAGCTGGGAGCAGCTGTGCCACCGCCCGCGGGAGCCCGCCCCAAAGGCGCCCCTCCGCCACTGAGCACGCCTGGCCTGCGGGCACACCTGCTCCAGAGAGAGTGGGGGTCCTGGGACCACAGCCACAGCTCTTCCGTGCACGGAGCCCCCAGCTGGCCTCCTCCTGCTGCAGCCAAGTGTGCCCCAACCCACAGGCCTCTCTCCTCTCCCTGGGAGGTCTTGCTCCAAGGACTGCCCAAGGCGACACACCTGCCTTTCCAGGTCCACGCACACCTGCCTCTTCCGTGTGAGCACGCTGCCCAGGAAGACGGCTTCTTCTCAAGTGCCTGTTTGTCTCCAGTTAAATATTTGCTCTAATTTTAAATAAAATTCATAGTTATAATGGCAAGCTGCTTTATTATTATGCAAAGGCATATGGTGGAAAATACTAGGCATTGATGACCAAAAGTGTCGCTCCCCCTCTTCATGGAGGAACGACACAGGACCCTGTGCTGTTCTTTCGTCTGCTCGGCCCTCCCCGGGTTTGCTGCTGGTTCTTCCCGGGTTGGCTACTATCCCTTCCACCTCCGTGGAAGGGCAGTTCCCCCTGGCCACATTCCCCACTTCCGCAGGGGAGCGGCACACCGCCGGCCGGCTCTCTCGGGGGCTGCACAGGTGTTCCCCTTAGATGTTCCCCTTAGATGTTCCTGGCGCATGCCGTCTCTCTCCTCCTTTATAGTCCTCCTCCGCCAATCCTAACTCGGCTGCCCACACGCCGAGTACGCTGCTCTCCTCCAATCAGGAGCAAGTCCTACAGTTTATTGGCTGAACTGGAGGCAGCTGCATAGAAGCTGTTTTCTCCTCTCCCAGCGCCATATTGTGGGAGAGCAGATGCATAGAATAAGTCTTAATTCCAGTAACTCAGTCTAGTCTGGATTGCTCCCCACAGATCCCCCTTTTTATTTTTGGCGTTGATACGCGCCTGTCTTCGGTGCCCCGTGGCACACACTCTGCTCTACTTGCTAGAGTTGCCACAGGTTCTTACAAGTCCTATCAATCAGGCAAACCGAATCCGGGTCCTCTCTTCGCCATGTTGTGAGGAGGTTTCTAGGCACTGATGCATGCCTGTGTTCGGTGCCCTGCAGCGCATGCTCTACTCTGCTAGAACTGCCTGCAGGTGCTTACAAAACCTATCAGGCAAACCGAATCCAAGCCTTCTCATTGCCATATTGTGGGGAGGCTTATTGGTGTTGATTCGTGCCTATCTTCAGTGACCTGCAGCTCATACTCTGGTCGAGCCGCCTGCTGGTGCTTACCGCCCTAATCAGGCAGACCGAATCCAAGCTCTCTCATTGCTGTGTTGTGGGGAGGCCTTTCTCTATTTCTCTATCTCCGGGCATTCCTATTTCTCCCATTTTACTTTATCTTCCAGCATTCCTATTTCTCTCATTTTACTTCTAAAACTTCTGTTTCTCTTATCCCTGCGGCTTCCCGGCGCCCGCCCCGAGGCTGCTTCTCGGCGCCTCGCCGCCCCGCGGCAGCTTCACGGCTCTGCGCGGCTTCCCGGCGCCTCGCCCCGCCGGCGGGCTCCCAGCTCTGCGCGGCTCGGCTTTGCGCGCACACTCCGCAGTCTCCACGCACTTCGCGCCCGCACCGCGGCCTCGCGCCAGCCCCAAGTTCCCTATCTATTCACGCCCCGTGCTCTCTCTGCACGCGGCGGCTTCCGCGAATGTTTCCGCCACCACCGGCATTCAGTCCAAGTTCCCCGGACTAACCTGGCGAATCCTGGCGGCCCACGTCTCTGCCTCTGGTTCCAGATCTTCGCCTCTTGCTCCCCGGGGTGACTTGAAGAATTCCAAGGTGGCTTATGTCTCCGCCTCGGCCTGCACTCGCGGCTTCATCCTCCCTAACATTTTTCTCTACCCGGTATGTTTCCTTAAGTTTTCTTCCAACAATATTCCTCTCATTTCTCCTGGCTACTCCCCACAGTCCGTATCCGAGTCCAAGCCTCCTCCAGGTTTCACTTTCGCTTTCAATCTCCTAGCTTCCCCGCCATAGTCCGCATCCGAGTCTATGAAAGCTTTCACTTTCGCTTTCAATCCTAACTTCTTTCCCACAGTCCATATCCGAGTCTATGCCTAGGCTTTCAATAGCTTCTTCCGGCACCTTTTCCATCCAGCTTTTCCCTAGGCTGTTTGCTAGTCTCTCTCTCTGGTATTATCGCATTCTTTCCTACTAAGTTTCGCTATCCGTCCTAGGTTACTATCCGAGTCACGGCCCCATTATGTCGCTCCCCCCTCTTCATGGAGGAACGACACAGGACCCTGTGCTGTTCTTTCGTCTGCTCGGCCCTCCCCGGGTTTGCTGCTGGTTCTTCCCGGGTTGGCTACTATCCCTTCCACCTCCGTGGAAGGGCAGTTCCCCCTGGCCACATTCCCCACTTCCGCAGGGGAGCGGCACACCGCCGGCCGGCTCTCTCGGGGGCTGCACAGGTGTTCCCCTTAGATGTTCCCCTTAGATGTTCCTGGCGCATGCCGTCTCTCTCCTCCTTTATAGTCCTCCTCCGCCAATCCTAACTCGGCTGCCCACACGCCGAGTACGCTGCTCTCCTCCAATCAGGAGCAAGTCCTACAGTTTATTGGCTGAACTGGAGGCAGCTGCATAGAAGCTGTTTTCTCCTCTCCCAGCGCCATATTGTGGGAGAGCAGATGCATAGAATAAGTCTTAATTCCAGTAACTCAGTCTAGTCCGGATTGCTCCCCACACAAAAGAGTATCTTTCAACTCTTGAAATTCATAAGGACTCGTTCCTGAAAACACCAAGAGACACCAGGATTACACACCTAAGCATTGTGACCACTAACAGTACCATGATCAAACCAAAGCTTGCACCTCTGCTGCCGTGTGTGTGTTGACAAGTCAGAAATGTAACAGACTCATTGAACATTTGCATTTCTTTAAATTTTTCATGTCCTTTTTTCCAATTTTTAAGCAAGTGTTCCTCTTTCTCTGATTTGAAAACCCTGTTTTGTCTACAGAGGATATTAATGCTTTATCCTAAATGCAGCCTGTTCAGGTTTGGGTTCATTTTTTTTTTTTTAAGTAATCATACTGCTTTGAATGGCAAAGCAAATCATTTCACTCTGAGCTCGAAATGCCAAATCAGTAAGCAAAAAAAGAGTAACTTACTGGAATAGAGAAGCTCAAGTTGATCCACATGCTATTAATATCTAGCATGTGTACTTCCTGATGAGTGCATGTATTTATTTTGAGTATGCTTACCTAAAAATTGTTACTCTGTCATTTTCATTTGCCCACGTACTTTGACCTTGCTTCTGTGGATTAAGCATTTGGAATCTGCATGATGCTTTCTGTCCTACCTGAGAGAGACTTTGTGGACAAACACATTTACTCACTCAACACTTTTCCCCCTTGTTCTTTCGTCCTGTGTCCACCTTTCCCTGAAGAGACTTCACCCTCTTCCTGTAGTTTGACATTCAAGCTGTTTGTGTTTATTAGGCTTTTATTTAATTAGGCTTTTATTTCCTTTTTATTTAGACTTTTCCATGCTCACCAATGTAAAAGAAAGAAAAAGTTAAATGTCTAAAGTCCTCTTGTGTACAACTTAAGAACATAACATCTTCTTTAAAAAAGATTTAACTGAAAGGCAGAGTTGATGTAGGAAAGTTTAGATAAGTTTAAGTTCATGAGCTGGGAGCTGCACCTCCTTCACTCTGTGTGGCCATGTTCACCTACCTGTCAATCAAAGGACCCCTCCCAGGAAGTTCCTCCTCTTACCCAGGGAGTCGGGGAGGAACCACGTAAACACTTCAATTTTTCTAAAGTTTTTAAGAAGCTAGCAAGAGCAGACGCACTCACTCCTCTTCGTGGACTCAGGATGAGCAGAGCGGGGTATGATAGCTCCCTTTCTTTAGCCCACTCTCCCTTAATAAAGGCCTAAAGAGCCGCTGTGTTTTTCTCACTTTGTAAATGAAGTTTATCACACTGCATGCCGTGTTTGGCTCTGTTCTTAGAATTCTATAGGTAGGTCCAACCCAGCCCATAACAGAGCTAGAGAGAGAAGGAATGTTGCTCCACCTCTTCGTGGAGGAACGACACTAAACCCTGCCTAGGCTTCCTACCCGAGTCACGGCACCATTATGTCGCTCCCCGTCTTCGTGGAGGAACGACACAGGACCCTGCACTGTTCTTTCGTCTGCTCGGCCCTCCCCGGGTTTGCTGCTGGTTCTTCCCGGGTTGGCTACTGTCCCTTCCACCTCCATGGAAGGGCGGTTCCCCCTGCCACTTTCCCCACTTCCACGGGGGAGCAGCACACCGCCGGCCGGCTCTCTCGGGGGCTGCTCAGGTGTTCCTCAGATAGATGTTCCTGGTGCATGTTGTCTCTCTCCTCCTTTATAGTCCTCTTCCACCAATCCCAACTCTGCTACCCACACGCTGAGCGCGCTGCTCTCCTGCAATCAGGAGCAGGTCCTACAGTTTATTGGTTGAACTGGAGGCAGCTGTGTAGAAGCTGTTTTCTTCTCTCCCAGCGCCATACTGTGGGGGAGCAGATGCATAGAATAAGTCTTAATTCCAGTAACTCAATCTAGTCCGGGTTGCTCCCCACAAGGAAGACAGAGAAAGTGAGAGAGAGAGAGAGAGAGAGAGAGAGAGAGAGAGAGATCTTCCATCCGCTGGTTCACTCCTCAAATGGCTGCAACAACTGAGGCTGAACCAGGCTGAAACTGGGAGCCTGGGACTCCATTTGGGTCTCCCATGTGGGGGCAGAGGCACAGGGACTTGGGCCATCTTCTGCTGCTTTCCCAGGCACATTAGCAGGGAGCTTGATCAGAACCAGAGCAGCTGGGACTTGAACCAGTGCTCATAATGGGATGCTTGTGTTGCAGGCAGGGGCTTAACCCGCGCCTGCTAACAAGGATCCCTAATATTACCTCTTTCTATGCTGTCTTCTACTTCATATCATCTGCCATTTTTGATCTCTATTATTATTTAGCTATTGTTTAGTTAATTATTCCATTATACCTTTTTTTAAAAAAATATTTAACACATCTCTGTCACCAGGTTCCGATATTTTCATCATGTTTAGTGTGTATAGAAGGGTATTTCAGACAATTCACAGAAAATGGAATTAAAAGATAAGCTGGCTTTGGTGCAAAAATTCTGAAAGCCCTGCATAGCTTTTGTTTTTTTAAGATTTATTTATTTATTTGGAAGGCAGAGTTACTGAGAGGCAGAGGCAGAGAGATAGAAAAGTCTTCCATCTGCTGGTTCATTCCCCAAATGGCCACAACGGCTGGAGCTGCACAGATCCAAAGCCATGAACCAGGAGCTTCTTCTGGGTCTTCCACGTGGGTGCAAGAGCCCAAGTACTTGGGCCGTCTTCTACTGCTTTTCAAGTCCAT